ACTTTTTTTATATGATAAATATATAATATTATAGAATGTAGCCAAAATTATCTACAAATTTTTACATTTCCTATAATTTTATGTATTTTATTATTTAATAATAATATCATATGTTGATCCACTTGGCATGGATAGTTGAACCACTAACCCACCACTTAGATGAAAAAACCATTTTTTCTTTTTCGGTTGATTTCAAATCATGTATTTCGTTTTCATCATCAATAAAAGTAGTTCTTATTTTTGCATTTATTTTTGAACGTGACAGTATCAAATGATGATGGTGATAATAATTAATAATCAAAGGACCTTACTGGTTGAACCATTAACCTATTTAACCAGGAAAATTGACTATGATTAAGACATTAATTCATTTTTTTCTTTGTATTTTAGCAATTTCTATCTTTACTAACAACAATTCTCATTTTTTCAAACATATTTTTGTTTAATATGAAGAATATATAATATTAATGTATGTTCAAATTTTCTTATAAAATTAAAAAAAAATCTATATTTTTATTTTTTAGTATTTAATTTATGAGATAATAAAAATTACTTATTTACCAAGAGGAAATGCAATTCTAATATATTGTTTGAACATTGGTTTTTAATATTGTGTCAAATTAATTATATATACATATATATAGTATATATTATTTATATATAATATATATGTTATTTATTATTTATTTATAAATATATTATTTATATTACATTTTTTAAACTTTTTATATGATGAAAATAGTTGAGAAAATACTTATATTTTTTGTTTTTTCTTTCAACTATTATATTTTTCTTTTTCTTTTAATAATTTATTACTTTTTTTAAAAAATTAAATCAGATCATATCAAATTCGAATATCCAACATCTTGATCGGATTCAGATTCGAATCAATGTTTTATGAGATCTGGTCGAATCTTTGGATAGATCAGATTTGAATATACCCTAATTCAAATTTAATCTGATATGTTTGCATCCCTACCAAACCACTTGCCTACGATGACCTAGCTAATTAAATTATTGAACAATTTGACATGGTTAATCGGGTTATATGTTAGACATTAATGCTCTTTGTTTTTTATCTTAATTTTTATTCCATTTCTATCATTAATGAAAATAATTCTCATTAATCACACTTTTTTTTTATATGATGAATATATAATATTATAGAATGTAATCAAAATTATCGACAAATTTCTAAATTTTCTAGAATTTTATGTATTTTATTATTTAATAATAACATCCATTTGACATGGATAGTTTAACCATTAACCCACCACTTGGATGGAAAAACCATTTTACTTTTTCAGTTGATTTTAAATCATGTATTCCATTTTCATCATCGATGAAAGTAATTCTTATTTTCACATTTATTTTTGTTTAATATGGTGAATATATAACAATAGAATTGTATCAAAATGCTTTCTACAAAGCTTATATTTTTCTTTGAGTTTATGTATGTATGTATGTATGTATGTATTTAATATTTGTTACTTAGTTATGCCATCATAGATTGACCCATTTGACCCGGAATGTTAGATCATTGACCTACCTACCATCTAGATATGGAAATGGTTTTATTTTCAAGTTGGTTTTAAATTTTGCATTTCATTTATATCATTGTTAAAATAATTATTATTTATCATACTTATTTTTGTTTTTATTATTAGTATATAATATCATAGATGTGCCCAAAATTGTTTCATATTTTTTGTACTATTTATTTTAAAAAAAATATTTTTAATTATACATCATGGATTAACCTATTTGACCCGAAAGATTGAACCACCAACCCACCTCCTGGATAGAAAGATGGTTTAATTTCCAATCGGTTTTAAGTTGTATATTTGATGTTCATCATTAATAAAATTATGTCTCTTTTATCATAGTTATTTTTTAATATGACAAATATATAATAATAGAAATATGTCCATTTTTTTTTCAAAAATCCTTTTTTTTCTATATTTTTTTGTATTTTGTATATTTCTAAATTTATATTATTTATTTATGACATCATGAAATTATCCATTTGACCCAAATGGTTGAAACACTTACCCATGACCTAGATGGAAAATATGATTTCATTTCTAGGTTTATTTTAAAATATAAAATTTCATTCTATTAATAATTATTGTGTATGGATTTATTAGTGTAATGATAATAAACAAAAGTATAAATGTTAGATTCAATGAGAGAGAATGTGATTTATTTAATGACTTAAATGTGAGACTTAATGAGAGATAATTGAATGTACTTAATGGTATTCTTTTAATTACATTTTCTGTCCTTTCAATGGAGATGAACTAAATTCAAGATGAGGGATATTTTAGTAAAGAAAAAAATCTAGAAGCCAATACCTCCTCATTCACACTTTTGTATATAATGTAGATTTAATTTATAATTTAACGTGGCGGAAGGCTAAAAATGTTAATAATGCATATGGTAAAGATTAAAGCTTGATATTAATGGGTACAAGCACTGGAAAAATATATAATAAAGGCTATACATCAAGCTTCTCTCAGATGCGAATTTATCAAAAAATATAGGATGAATTACAGTTGGGAAAAATTTCACTACCCACACTCAACAAGAATTCTTGCCAAGAATTGATATCCATGTTGAAATGTGTCCAGTTTCTCCTCAATTTAACGTCCGATTGATGAGACTCAAAAAAAAAAAATCGTTCTTTAGAAACGATTCAATCTAAAAGCTTAAATTATTGGTTGCAATAATTGAAATTTTGCAATGCATTGGTTTATATGTATAGTATTGATGGTGACTCATCGATGACTCGGATCTCCTATCCACACAAACTCTGTCCACGTCTACCCACAACACACTATCCCCGTGAATTGGGAACATCTCCCTCTGCATAATACTATGTAGGAGGATGATATATTCTTCATGTGTGGCTGCGATGTTATGTGGGTAGACGTGGGCAGAGTCCATCCCATACACCCATACACCCCATCTGACGTATTGGCATGTATCAAAACTTAAAACCTTGGTTAGGTAAGGTCCCTAAACAGCTAGGTTTTTATTCTCTAACACATGATCTCAGTGAAGGCCTATTAGTTTTGAAGTGTGAACAAATAGATCCATGCCCAAACTTTTCTTTTGAAATTTAATTAATTAATTATAATGAGGGCAGTGATGATTGAACACTAAACTAGACCTGTTCATGGGCCGGGTGCCCCGACGGGCCGGCCTGGCCCGGCCCCCGGATGGGCTTGAACGTGGTTATAGGCCCGCGGGCTTAAATTCGGGTCAGAAAACCCGGCCCGCAATAAATTCGAGCCGGGCTCGGGTTTTGTCAAAATAGCCCGACCCGAGCCCGGCCTAACCCGACCTAATATTAGACTTAAAGTGAGTAATGTGATTATGTCCATTTGAATAATTTTTTTGATTTAAGAATGTAAAACTATGTTTTAAAATATAAAAGGGGAAAAAAACCATCTTGTAGGCCCATTGTTCATTTAAATAGGAAAAAAAAAACTATCTGAATTTTTAATTCTAATTTGAATAGGGAAAATTATTTTTTTTATTAGGGCCGGGCTTAGGCTCGGGCCTAGCATATTTCCCTTAATGACAAGTGAAAGCCCGGCCCAAACCCGCCCGGCCCGAACCCGCCCGGCCCATAAACAGGTCTACACTAGACCAATTGATCAAATAGGCTTTGATACAAGGAATCTATTAGGTGAGGTACCCAAATAGGTTTTTATATTCTAACGGTAGCCAAGGATCACTATTAATGATGGATGATTAATCTATGCCTCCTCATTTTTGTCAAAATTAATGTATGAATGCTCAATGAGGTGGCATTAACATCGATCTGCCGTGAAAAACAGGGTTTACCTACAATTTAATAGGAGCCAAAGTTGTCACACTTTCAAATAACCTTTATATGGAATGGATCGATCGAAGAGCAACTAGAGACAGTGGAGGGCCAAAAATTATAACCTTGAAATATATTTGAAATTCATAAAATTAAAAAAAAAAATAATTTTAATAAACAAATGGAATTATCTTGTTTTGATTTTGTGAGAAATTAAGGTTATATTTGGTTTGAAGGAAAAGGTAGAGAAATCCATACAAACTCCCTACATTTCCCTTATTTTCCCTATTTTTTCCTTCAAACCAAACACTGTAAAGAGACAGGTGTGACATGGATATCCACTTTCAACATGAATTCCTGTTGAGAGTGGGCAACGAAATATTTTCATTACGGTCGTTTCAAGCTAAATGATGAAGAAATAACAAAGCTTGGATTTTTTAAGTTAGGCTGTATTTGATTGCAGTGCAAATTTATTTGTACTAATACAAATGTATATGAGTACAAATATAAAAAATGCAAATTCTCATTTAATTTTATTTTGGGTTTTACTTTGTGCTGTTTAATGTCTTAATTTATTCTATTTGTATTGCAATCAAATAAAATAAGTTAAAAATTGAAACAAAAATACGTCAGAATTTATACTTCAAATCATTTACACTGCCATGATTTTGCATCAGTGTAAATTTCTTTCCAAGCAATCGAACACAGCCTTGGTTACATAGTAGTAAGAGCTTCTGCTTTTGGGGCGCGTTGTATTAATTGAGGTAAGGTGGTTGAGCACTGGTGTTCCCGAGAAGATTGGAGTTTTACCAAACACAGTTACTGGCGTTCCCATGTGAGGCCCAGCTTACAACGGCAAAAGCTCTCCCAAACAGTAGTAAGGAATTTTTTTTTTTTTTTTTTTTTAACTTTGAGACCGTGGTTGCGATTTTCCATTTTGCTTGTAAGATTATTTCATTCGAAGATTCAAGCATAGCCTTGTGTGTCTGTAGAGATAAAGATATATATATAGAGAGAGATGATTCATGAAAAAGGGTTTAGAACCCTTTGGATTTGGTGATTATAGAGTTTGAAATGTGAAGTTTTTCTTACAGCAACAAACATATGTATCAAATTGAATCTAAAATATTTCTACCAAAAAAAGAAAATTGAATCTAAAACAATGACTTAGACATTTACAAAATATGTCAGGAAAATATGACAAAGGACATCAAATGAAGTGATGCCCGGCCTTATTAAATAATACACAATGAATCCTATTTGCTAGAAAACTAATAGTCCAGATTTGCTGGGCTTATAATGGTATATATGAACATCTATCTGTTCACACGATAATCGAGCCGCATATCAAGAACATCTCCCCATGAATGATAACGTAAGATGTTCCCGATATGCAGCCGGATTGTAATGTGAAAATTTTTATTAAGCGTAGCTGCACATCCCGTATACGCATTTGCTCCCTTTCTTGCACTTGTTGGTGCACTGTCCACAATGCTTCTTGTCAACCAGTGGGTTCACACACTCGCCTCTGCAACATATCTGTGAGTATTTGCACTTCCTCCCACACATCCCGCAGTTGAGCCTGTCCGTCAACACATTCACACACTTTTTCTTGCAGCAATCCGGTCCCGGACTCCCCTTGCCGCGACAAACTCTTGGGAATTTATCACAAGTCATTACAGCCTGACCCTTCACCTGTGCAAGGAATCGGCTAGTCCCTCGGAGAGAAGATGGTTGCTCGCTCTCCGTCAAGGGGATCTCAGGCTCATCATCAGAATAAGTAGTGTCGTCAACTGTGTCATCTTCATCAACCCCGACCATTTGTACATTTTCTTCGGCCGGAGTTGCAGCAAGAGGAATTGCTAAAGCCAGCATCGTTGCTAAGATAATCACGAGCATCTTTAATGACTTCATGGTGCTCAGACTGTCAGACACAGAGAGAGAGAGAGAGAGAGATTTGATAGTACGTAAACCGGGGGATGGAAAATGAAGCTGGGCGGAAGGGTTTATATAAGGAGGATTTACAGGAAGAGACGGAAGTATTGTTAGTGGGGTGGTCTAATTCAACGGCTCTGCGATGTAGAATTTATATAGGACGGAAGTTAGGCTTCAATGGAAAATTCAAATTTAGAGAGAGAAATCAAGCAAAGGAAGAAATAATATGGCTTAATTTTTTGATATTATTATATTGAGGGAGAATGAAGTAAGCTTCTAGCTAGGTGGGCTTGACCTAAAAAAAAGAGGTCATCAGGTCCGTAAAACAAAAGGTAGGTCAGCGTTTTTTTTTAATTAGAAACAACTTTTGTGCTTTTTTGTCGGTGGATAACAAAGCCACGTCCGTTTTAGCAACAAAAGCGAACGTCGAAGGTCGAACCTCGCACAGGGCGCGGCGCCTCCCTATAGCCTGTAGGCGGCAAATGAGTATGCCCGAGGTATCCTAGTCGGGCAAAGTGGACCTTCCAAGTTCCATGTTCCAACTTCCAACATCCCGTGTCCCCGGATCGGATCTAGAAACATTCGTACCTGATCCGATTGATCCAAAACTGTTCTTAAAATCACAAAAGAAATTAAAAAAAAAAAAAGTTTTAAAATAACAATAGCTTTTAATATACGTTAATAAATAAATGTGTATAAATATTAAATATAAAGTTCATTAGTTATATTTATATAATTTTTATTTTTAATTAGATAAGACGTTGAATTGAGTATCAGATTTCGGAGTCCATTGACAGATCGACCTATTGACCCATGGAAATGGCTTTCATAAATCAGATTTGGGAGTTCTTCTAAATTAATAAGTGGCCTAGTAAAAATTAGTTATGAAAATATAGATAGATTTCATTGTTTCCTGTACATTAATTAATATACCCACAATTCAGTTCTTTCTTATGGCACCTTCAATTATATCTCTAACCATATAGTAGTTGATTACTTGATTTCAATATAATTGTTTTAGACCTATTGTTCGGTGTTTCTTAATATTCACATTTTGTAAAATGAACATAATAAAACAGATTTCAATATAAAGCTCCCGCTTCACTAGGGCATGCAGACATATAGAAGCAAGATTTAGGGGGGAAGGATAAATGCTGTTTGATTAGACGAGGAATTGTTTTAACCAATAACCACGGTTTTCCTTTCAGGAAATTAACATAAAGCACAGACATACAGAAAAAGAGTGAAAAGAAAGAAAAAGTAACAGACTTACTTGAATCTTAGGTAGCTCTTGGGTATCTGAGGCAAGAAAGGTTCTCTTGTATTGCATTGAGTAGCAAGGTGCAATAGATTAATTAGAAGCGGCACTAAATCAAAAAAAAAATATATGAAAGAGAGAATAAGGTCTTGGGTTTCTTCCATTATTTCTTCATGATCTGATTCTTCCATTTACTTAGTACTTACTGATTTTGTGACGCTTGGAGAATAAACCAAAGACCGTTTCAGCCAAACCGTCCATCGCTAAACTAATACACAGAGAATTCTCAAAGGGCATGCAGCAGTCATGGTTGGGGCTGTTCATAAGAAGATCCAACCCGACCAAACTGATCCAATCCGATTAAATCGATCCAATTCGAGTTGGATGGGTTTTCTTTAATATCGGTTGGTTTCGGGTTGTAAAAAATTATAAATCGATGGTATAGGTCGGTTTCGGTTTTCATGTGTGAAAACGAAACCGACTCAAACCAAACCGACTTAGTAGTTAGTAGTTAGTTCCTAATTAGTAGTTACAGCCTATTTAGTTCCTATTTAAGTAAGTTGTCTCTATCCTAGTTACAACGTAACTTAGTTTCTAGTCTTCTAGTTATGAATGACATTAATGGCAAGTATTGTAAGACAACTAGACAATAAAATTTTTTGGAAAAGTTAAAAAAAAAGAATCAAATGGATCCTATTTTTTATGATCTTTTACACCAAATAGGCAATCAATTACAATTATAATTAAGTGTCATTTTTTACTTAGATTATAAGGTTTCTTGAAATATACAAATTTCAGTCTTCTTTTTTTAATACAATTTGACTTTCTATTTTCTTGATAACTTCTATTCTAACTTGGTCCGCCCCCCTTAGCCCCTCAACTCAAGCACAATCTCTAATACAATTTGACTCTCAAGCATGGCTGAACTTAGAGCCGAAACTGACCCAACCCGACCAGGTCAGTTTTACTTAACATAGGGTCGGTTTCGGTTTCAATTTTAGGTAACCCGACCAGATTGGATCGATTGGAAAAATCTCAGTAAACCAACCCAACCCGACCCGTGAACAACCCTAGTCATGGTTGGAAAATGAGTAACCACACGTAGAGCTGTCAATTGGACGGTTTTGGGTTGGATCCAAACCAATCCAAATCTTATCAAGTCGGTTTTGGATAATCCATTATAGTTATTAGATTGGACCAACCCAAAATAAAATCGCCCGTATTATTATTGGTTTGAGTCGGTCCAAAACCAAAACCCAATAGTTCAATCGCCATTTCGCCAAACACTACCGATTTGAATCAAAATCAAAATCGAAACCATCTGACTTTGAAACTCAAAGAAACCTTCGAAGGCTCAAAGTTCTGAAAAACCTGTTCGAACATTCGGCAACTCTTCTCCGGCGGTCGTGGCTCTTCTCTTTGGCGGTTCGAAGAGGTGGTGGATAGAGGAGATCGAACCTTCATCCACCGAAGTTTTCCCACTTTTTTCCTCTCCCTTTCTCTCGTTATCTTATCGACCCAACCGACCTAGCTTCCTCTCCCTTGTTATTGTCGTCCCAAATGAACCACCGCTGCAACTCCTAGTAACGGCAGCATTCTTCTCTCAATTTCTCTCCCACTCACCCGTTCTCTCTATCGCTATCATTCTGTTCTCCTTAGTAGAGTTACAGCGGTGAAGGTCCCTTTTGGTTCTCACTCCATTTCGAGTCGGCACTAGCATAGATTGTTCGAATTCTCATCGTCATCATCTGTTGAAGCTTGTAAATGAATATTTGCCTCACTGTGATTTACCATCTTAACCGTAATCCAAGAAGATTCCCTCCGTAGTAGCAAAGATCGGAGAGGAGTGAAGCAATTTTTCGTTCTATCTCAGTCATCATCGTCGTCCAAGACGAACCGACAGAAACCAATGAAGCCTCCCCTGTTGCATTGACCGACCTCAGGCCAAAATTCCGAACCAGGTAAGTTCTATTATATATTGTAATCCTTTTAACTTGTCTCACCTACAACAACTAAGAATATCAAATGAAATCCTCAGTTGTGTTTGTTACTATTGCCGTTTACCTCTGAAACTTTTTTGGTTCCTTAATCAATACAAATTGGTGAGAAAATGGGTTCTAATTTTCATTTAGTTTAGACCGAGTTGGACTCAATCCAATCTATTTGCATTTCAATTGGACTGGATCCAATCCAGTTTGTATAGATTTGGATTAGATTTGGTGCAGTTTATTTATAAATGAACCAACGTTGGATCGGATTGAATTGGACCAAATCCAGTCCGTTGACACCCCTAGCCACACGCAGTCCCTTCGCTTGGAAAAGAAACTGAACATGAGGTGGGTTTCGGTTCTGAACGAGGGAGTAACGAGAGAGAGAGAGGGGGGTTTGAGGGTGTTTTTGTCAATTTGTTTTTTTATGTGAAAGAGTGGGAATGAAATTCTGATTCCAGGGGGTGGGTCGGGAATGGCCATTAACGAAAAGGGGATTGCCATCCCGATTGGATTCCGATTCCCCCCAACCAAACACCCATAATCAGAATGGTTCATTCTGATTCCGATTCTGGACTTCTATTCCTGCGCACCAAACAGAGCCTTAAATCAATTGGTTGGTTGGGAATGAAATAATGCTAAACTAAATGAAACAAAAATAATATCAATGTTCCTCTAAAAAACAATGATATCAATGTGTCTCAAAGTAAATACTTGTAAGAACCAGAAAGGAACTAATGTTACAACTTGCAATTTATTTGCACATAAAAATACAAATAGTAAAACCAGAGGAAAAATGCAATTATGGATATGTAGTACGACGTCTGAGGTGAGGGAGGAGAGTTGATTACAGCCATTTATGCTTCAACGAACCTCCACAACATCATAGTTAGGCTGTGTTCTTTCTTTATTTGTTTTCCCCAGGAAGGGAGGAGAGTTGATTATTGGGAAAGGACGATTATTATTAATAATTGAAATAAAAGAAATTCCACATTTGAAGATTTAAATGCTCTATATGAAAGAAGGAACAGAGGGAAAAGTATATCAAAAACTTGTAATTAAGCGTAGTTGCAGAGTCCATAAGCACAGGTTTCCCCCTTTTTGCACTTATTATTGCACCCACCACAGTTGTTCCTATCGAAAGATGTGTTCACGCAGCTTCCTTTGCAGCATACCTCTGGGTACTTACACTTGTATCCGCACATCCAGCAATTAGAGCGATCCGTCATCACATCAACACATTTCTTCTTGCAACAGTCAGACCCTGGACTCCCTTTTGCGCGACAAATCCGAGGGAATTTATCGCAAGTCATTTGGCTGCTACTGGGGGTTTTCGCTGCGAGGAAACGGCTTGTTCTCCCTCCTACAGACACAGATAACGATGCTTCATGGCTGGAGTCGTTTGTAGCGTCCGAGCCACTATCATCATCATCATCTTCGGTTGCCACTGCAATAGCAGCTACAATTAAAACCATTGCCACTGCGAGTACGATCCAGAGCCTTATCGACTTCATCGTAACAAAATGGAAGACTGTAACTTGTTGCAGCAGAGGAGCAAGTGTTGATGGGTGATGGGATGAATGAAGGTGAAAGCATGAGTGACGGTATTAACTCTAATTTATAGGGAAATTGACGGGAGAGTTGACCTTCTGAAAATGAAGGGATACGTCTTGCTTTTAGTGGGCCCTGTTTAAGAATTGAAGCAAGTCCCAATAAGAGGAACCCAGTTTGGTTCTAAGTGAAGTAAAGTTAAGCTCCTTAAAATAACTAAATAAAGGGAGGAAGGGGAAGAATGATCACGAGTTATTACCAAAAAATAAAGCAACTTATTACACCTGTATATATATATTTATGTAAATATGTATGCATATATAAATGCATATCTACATTTTTATATATCTATGCATGTGTATAGTCAGATTAGGGACCAGGTCATGCCAGGTTCAGGCTATCTTGGGCTGGGCTCAAGTCCATCTCAAAAAATAAAAAAGCCCATGCTATGTATGCAAGCCCTGCTATGCAAAATTTTGGCTTGGATCGGTCTGGGCTCGGGTTGAGCCCACCCAACTTGGGTCCCTAGTTTATGCCTTACTCCGCATGTATAAACATACGAAGCATGTCAATGTACTGTTTTGTGCATTTAGGTAGCCAATTAACCATTACACTGCATTTAATAAGGGCGTGACTGCAAAACTGATGCATCTCTACTTTTAACACTTTTGCATTTAAATGGGGGCAAAAAGTCTGTACGAAAAGATGGAAGCAAACTTTGATTCAAAGTAGGTTAATTCCAATCCTGAAATTTGTGCTTGTACCCAATTTCAACCAAACACGGTACAAAACAATACAAAATTGGGCCAAGTTTGGATTTGCACTTTTTGACCTAATCCTGCATTTAGCCTTAATTCCAATCACTTTTCTTGGGTCTCTCCTTTCCTCTTTGTTTTAAAACTAAGGATGCAGGCTACGAGAACGAGATTCACCTAGATGCACTTGGGTTTAAGTAACTCGCAAGCCAATAAACATAGAAAAATGTAGAAACATCCGAGTGTATCACAAGTCATGGTTCAGCAACATCAGTTCTTATTAAATAGTTCTTAAGGGTATGTTTGGCAAATAAGTGGGTTACCATGTTTAGTGAGCCACTTAACCAATAAATACTTATATTTGCAAAAATGATAATTTATAACCCTGACCTAACAAATGCATATAGATGTTATTTTATGAATGCTATATTAAAACATTTTTGTGAAAATGACAATTCTAACCCTCATGACACATGGGCCAACATGTCACATACTGCCTTTGTCAAATAATTTATTTTAGGGTAAAATATAAAAACCTCCCATGTGCATGTTATTCCCTGCTTCGCATCTTCAGATGTGCGTGTTATTCCCTGCTTCGCCCATACAATTGCAAGGAATTTGCTTTCTGGTCCCAATGGTGCATCTTCATTGGGTATAGTTCCTCTCACAAGGAGTACAAATGCTTCCACCCTCCTTCTAGACGATTTTACATTTCTCGACATGTGGTCTTCAATGAATCTTGTTTTTCGAGTATTCCTTCTCTTTCTCTGGCTTCTGATGATTACACTGGCGTTACTATATTTGTTCCGCTATCACCGCCAATTTCTGCACCATCGCCGCCTGTCTCTGCACCATTGCCATTGACTAACCCACCGACTTCGCCGACAGCCTCTTAGACCAATGCTAGTCCTTTTCAGGTAGTGTTTCCACTTCTTCCCCACCGAGGAGTATTTGGCTTCTTCAATATTTACTCAACTCTACTTAGCCGGTACACATACCATCTACTCGCACTCATCCCATGCAGACTCGTTCTCTCACCGGCTCTCTTTCGGCTCAATCTCAAAGCGCTTCACGCTATCAAGTTCCTAAAGCATTGCTTGCTACACTACATGGTGATCTTCATGAGCCCACTTGTTTCTCTAAAGTCGTTACCAAGCCGTGTTGGTGATAAGCAATGTCGCGCAAGTTTAATGCTCTTGTTTCCAATGGCATGTGGACCTTAGTACCTCACCAACCCCATAAGCATGTTATTGAAACCAAATGGTATACAAAGTAAAATGGTGTGCTGATGGGTCTATTGATCGATGTAAAGCACGTCTAGTCGCACAAGGGTTTAGACTGACACCTTCATCCTAGTGGTCAAATTGGTTACCATTCGAACCATTCTAGCCCTTTCCACTGCTCTTGGATGGCCTCTTCGACAACTAGACTTTGATAATGCACTTTTAAATGGGTATGTTTCTGAGGATATTTATGTGCGACAACCTAAGGGTTTTGAGGATCCTTCTGCTCCTGGTCATGTCTGTAAACTTATTAAGGCCTTGTACGACCTCCAGCAATCTCCGTGTGCATGGTATTCATGTCTTAGCTTAGGTTTTCGGATGTCTTCAACCAATCCATCATTATTTATATACACCAAGGGAATGGTGACCTTATATATGTCAATCTATGTCATGATATTTCTTCTTACCAGTTCCTCTCCATCTACAATTAATGATCTGGTCTCTACTTTGAAACGTACTTTCTCTCTGAAAGATCTTGGTCCAACGAATTTCTTTCTTGGAATGGAGATCATGACACAACCAAATGGGATTATTCTCACTTAACGGAGGTATATCTTAGATCTCTTATAGCGTGCCAACATGATCGAAGCCAAACCTCTCACTTCTCCTATGACTATGAACTCTAAACTCTTTAAGTTCAGTGGTGTTGCTCTCTTAGATCCCTTGGAATATTGGAGCACTGTTGGAGCTTTACAATATCTTACTATTACTCGCCCCGATATCTCCTTCTCTATCAATAAAGTATGCCAATTTCTTCACTCTCCTACATCTGATCACTAGGTGGCTGTTAAATGTATTTTACAATATCTCAAACATACGACAAATCATGGTCTTTATTTCTACTCCACCTCAGCTCCTCTCTCTCTTTAGCCTTTTTCGGATGCTGATTGGGCCGGTTGCCCTGATGATTGACGGTCTATTGGTGATTTTCTCATTTACTTGGGACGTAATTTGATTGCTTGGAGTTCTAAGAAGCAACCCACTATTGCCCAGTCAAGTACTGAATCTGAATTTTGGGCTTGTGCTAATGCCGCCATAGAGGTTCTTTAGGTTCGGTCCCTATTGGAAGATTTGGGTCATTCGTTACCTCATGTGCCTATCATTTGGTGTGATAATATTGGTGCCACGTATCTTGCCGCTCATCTAGCCTTTCGTGCACATACTCGACATGTTGAGGTCGACTTTCACTTCTTACAGGATCTGGTACTCAAACGCTCTCTCTCTCTCTCTCTCTCCCTCTCTCTCTCTATGCAATTTATTTCCTTTGGAGATCAGGTCATCGACCTTCTAACCAAACTGATTAGTGGTGCTCGCTTTGCTAATCTACAATCCAAGCTTCATGTCCTTCCCAAACATTTCACTTAAGGGGGCATATTGGATAATGATTGACAGTCTTAACACGACCTGTTATCTTCGCTCTCTCCTCATCTTAAACTTATCTCTCTTGTATCTTATCTAGAGTTAGTTGTGTTGTACTCTAATCCAAATACCTCAATATTTGCATTTCACTCAAACTATAATTGCTTGGACTATTATAAATACATGAGGGTTTGATCCTCTCACCATCAAACCATTCTCATATATATTTTCTATTGTGTTGCTATATCTCTAAGTCATACCAGGGAAAGACACCGGCATAGCATTATAGATAAAGAGTAGAAACCACCCAATTGAGCAAATGCAACCAATCAACCAGCATCAACTATCGATGCAAAACCATTTCTTCTTTTTCTACTCTACCTTGCTCTTCGAAACCTTATCCTTATCCTTCTTCTCATCTTTGATGCCTTTATATTTTGTATGAGTATCCTTGTTAGAAATTTTTTCTATTTCAGAGGCTTTTCTGCAGCCAATGTCAACATTTTGTCTATTTCTTCCTTCCTTGTTTCAACTTGTAAGTTTCCGATACCCTACTATCGATGCTAAACTGGAAGAAAGTTTTGAGCCTTCAACGATTTATATAATAGGTGGGTCAAATGGTTTATATAACCTGAATTGTTCTCCTGAACAAAACTTCGCCCGGTTCGCATGATGCTCTCAAACCCTAACCCCAGATTTAACTGGTAGTTTTGGCTCTTTGAAGACCAAAACACTGTTTGTTGTTGTAGTGGCAACAAAACCACCAGTTAAATCTAGGATTGAACTGCCAGAGCCCATGAAACAGGTGAAAGGCTAGGCCTAGGCAAGTTTTTATGCGGCAAGCATTCTGCAATTTGTATGGTCATCATGGGTCCCACTGTGAGAAGCTGGACGATGGAGTTTCAGGATTCCACTCCGTTTTAGACGGTAAAGTTTCAAACAGAGTTCTCCTTGAATCGATGGAGTTCGGGATGAGAGAGTGAAAGTGAAAGACGACAAAGAGATCGAAGGGAGGTTTTTTGTTGAGTTGTAAATAAGGTTATTTTTGTAAAATTGTATGTAAAGTAATTTATAAAAGGGTATAATGGGCATTTGGAAAAAAAAAAGAAAAACTGATGCATTAATCAAATTTTCCATTGGACCAGTGACATAAGGGAGGTTTTTGTCAAATTTTTTAAAAGTTTAGAGAGATATTTGTTAAAATGAAACTAAAGGGGAGGCTTTTATATTTTACCCCTTATTTTATTTAAGAAAATACAATAAATAACCAAAAAAATTCTTGTAATAATAATATTAATAATATTAACAATCATAATAATAATAATAATAATAATAATAATAATTATAATAACAACAATTAATGATAATGATGATGATGATGATAATTAATGGCCATCATAGAGAAATAATATAAATCATGTTCTTGACATAATTGGTGTGACGAGGGTAGTCGACGTGTGCGTAGCGGCACACTTGCACTTCTTAGTCTCGTCCTTGAAATGAACAAACAGTGTTAATGGTGATACCTCTAGCTCTCTCTTCTAGGGCAGTGTCAATTTCATCGTTTTTCTTGGGAGAACTCAGAACTGTTACGAACAACGTCCAAGGCCATGGTTAAGGCAGCGGTGAGAATGGTCCTGCCATGGTTAAGGCTTCTTCCTTCTAGCAGTTCTAACCATCAGGGAATGGTGAGACTTCGCTCCATCGTCTCAGGTGAAGTGGTGGTGGTGGCAGTAGCGGACCACCAAAAGATGCTTAGAGGAGTTAGTGAAGGAGGAGAGGAGAGGAGCTACTTTAGTGGCAAGGGCTCGCTTGGCATGGAAATATTGCCATCGGAGATTGAGAGAGACTAGAAGTAGCAGAAGGAGAGAAGAGATCGATCGAGGAAGAAGAGGATGTAATTGCCATGGATGCAAGCTTTTCTTCTGTTCCTCTATACTTCTGATTATTCGTAAAAGGCCCACGTCCACTACCTCTAAAAGGTCTTCTTCACGAGCAAATGGAGAAGATATATGATAGGATTTCTATTGTCTTCTCTGTATTAGGAACATTCAATATGGAAATTTGAATAGTTTATGGGGACAATTTTGTCCCACAAAAATTGAATAAACTGGCCCAAGGTTGCTTTTTCTTCAAGCATTTTTGTCAAACATGAATAAATTCTTATTTTTCATTATTGTGTGATCCCACTACTTATTTTATATATATAAATAAGTAAAATTAAATAAAGTGATCCTAACAGTGATTAAGGGTCTGAGGCCAAGTGGCCAAGTCAGTTCTTTGAAGCAATGTTCAAAATATTGATACATCCAATACTCCGATAGGGGCGTATTAGGCAAATCGATACTTTTTTTTTTATTGTTTTTCGAAATCGATTTAGGGGAACCAGTTTAGAATTCCTCCACCCCCCCTGAACCGGTCAATCCTCAATACACGCACTGTAAGGGCATATTGGAGGGGTCCAGATACGATACATATCGGCCCATATGGACCGGCTGATACGTGTAGATACTTTTAACCTTGCCAGCCAATGACTACTAGTTTCTAAGCAGCAATCCCAAATGGATGGCTGATCACTGAGTTGGTAGGCGTGGTTTAGCTTAATATTCTGCTGCCTGCTGGGTTCTATCCACGAAGTCGACCGGCTCGATCGACCAATCATCAATGCAAAAAGCCAATAACGTATAAAAGGTCAAATTCAGTGCAGTTTCCTACTGTCCTCTCATTGCACAAACAACGTGCATGGATCTCGGTTGTTAAACATATTCCTTGGAGTAAACAGCCAACAAGTGTAAGAACAGACGTCAAACTAGAATGAAGAAATCGACGTTACATTATTTGACAGAAATTTGAATGCTGTTACATCGATCATCTACATTTATATATAAGAATTAAGAACAAAATTAATTCTATATAAGGCTTGCATTTTTATGGTTTAGAGTTGAAGAGAAGAATCTGAATTTCGAGGTGGAAGCTAATGCTCTGTATTATCTAGGCATAGTTGCATAATCCGAATGCACAGAACTCCCCAGTTTTGCACCTGTTGTTGCATCCACCGCAATGCCTCCTGTTGAAGGATGGGTTGATGCATTTGCCTTTGCAGCATATTTCGGTGTACTTGCATTTCCTCCCACACATCCCACAGTTGAGGCGGTCCGTCAATACGTTCACACATTTCTTCTTGCAACAGTCTGGCCCTGGGCTCCCTTTGGCGTGACATATCCACGGGTATTTGTTGCAGGTCAATCGGCGTTTCTGTGCTTTCTTCTTCTGCCTTAAAAGCCGACCTATTCCTCGAGGAGGTGGAGGAGGAGGAGAAGAAGAAAGTACTTCTTGGTTCTCAGCCAAGGGGCCCTCAGAAACAGTATCGACTTGATCAGCTTCAATGAGTAGTACTTCATCTTCTTCATCATCTTCTTTATGGTTCGAAGTAGCTGTGACACCCATGATTAAAGCCATGACCACCGACAGAATGAAGAAAACTTTTATCAATTTCATGGTGATAATGCGAGTTAAGATTGGAGGAAAATGGACAGAGGAATGGTGATGAGGCCTTGCTGGAGTTGTAATGGTACAATCATACAAGAGAGGAGACGATGGATGAGGATGGGGGCGAGGGGAGAGAAGGTGATGGGGTTTTATAGGGGAATTGGTGGGATATATGGTTGACATTGGGTCGGGGTACACGTTCAGCTCGTAGTGGGGTAGTCCAATTCAACGTCTACTAAATAAATAAAAAAAAAATCAACGAAGAACTAGGTTGAATTTTTCTGAAGAAAAGAATAACTAGATTGATTCAGACTTTCAGAGTAAACGCGAGTTAGGCATACCAGCTCTCAAGTTCAAAGGTTCAATATTATATTAATTTCAAATATAGAAACAAACGGAGGAGGCAACAGGAGATCTAAGGGTTTCAGGTTTAGTTTTATACGAGAAGAGCTGCAGAGGTGCCCTCTTAGCACTATATTAAGCTGTCATGTATCTAAATTAATAAGTTTGAAACTTACACTCCAAAATCGGGTCCAAGTCTATACATATTAGACCCTTTGAAGAGATTCAAACACACGCGTTGAAAAATGAAACATGAACAAACCAAGCTCTTTAGTTTTAAGAAGATGGATGGATCCATGGCTGTCCAATCTGGGCCGGTTCATAAAATCAATGAACCGGGGTTCTACCTCCTTAGAGAATCTATGTTGGGTCATGGGTAGTATTTTCAAACTATCGTTGACCTATCCGGTTGAACCGCTCAAACTATCATCCGGTTAAGATTTAGAGTCCAGTTTTAGTAAATCCCCGGAGGATGGTAAAAACCGTTGACTTGATTGAAATCATTCGATCTGGATGTTTAGACCGTTGACTCATTTGACCCAGTGAACAAGTCACAGGTTGCACACTAAATGTGTATGCAAGGGAGGCCATAACTTTGCACCCAATATCCGATTGAAGTGTTTTTTTTTAGATAACTTTTGAGATCTATGTGTAGGTGTCTTGCCCCGGTATTTTCTCCAAACAACTCTATTTTAACCTCAAATTGTAAATTTTAATATTTTTTACAAATAAAATTAAAAAGATTAATTAAATTAGTACATATATTACATATAATTATATATATGTATGATTACTGATATTTTAAACATTGGTCAGGGTGAGGGTGGTCAAAACCACCTATTCTATTATTCGTCAAGTTTTGTGATCTTATTTTAAACAATGCATGGAAAAGAATAAAGCTATTACGACCACGAGTGGTCAGAACTCAGAAGCTCCTCCTAGTCCTAACATTGGTGACCGGTGATGGAAAGACAGATGGTGATAAGGATTCAACAAATAGTAAGAACTGAGTCGATTAAAAAAGGGTTTGAATTTCAGCAAGCGATTGACAGACAAGCTGCCAAACTTTTGCGAGATACGCAATTTGGTGATGGTAACAGGTTTGAAATGTGAAAAGACCGCGGAGTGCCCAACTTTGTTAGACTTTTTGAGCAACACAGGGTTAGGCACTTGGCCCAAGTCCTTTGGCTTTTGCTCTATGCAAGTTGATCAGATTCCCTCCAGTTCAAATCTCTCCAACCTTATTTCCACCTTCATCTCAAATTCTCTATCTTCTCAGAAATTTCTCCTTTCTTTCTGCACCTGTGATTTCGCCGAGATGAATCCTTAAAGTAAATATTTTTGCTAATATTTAAATATTCTGAAATAACAGAGGCTTCAGTTCAGTTGACAAATTTTGTTTTTAACGGGTTTTAAATTAATAGTATTTATCTGGGATTTTCAAAACGCTTAAAAACTTGTATTGTTGTGATTTTCGATTCCCACAATAACAAGTTTTTATTTTATTTTATTTCAGTTGCAAAATTTATTAAAAATTTTACTTTTGCATAAACAAATCGGTTTTGTTTCAAAAACAAAATCATGTTTCTAAGACCATCAAAATAAAAGTTTTTAAAAAACAAATTTTGGAGTAATAATATTACATGATTCATAAAACATAACATCAAATCACTAGATGAAAACGTGTTCTCTGTAAACACAATTTTGGTTTCACTTTTGGAAGACACAAAATAAAAAAACACGTACAGCCAAAAATATGTTTTCTGTTTTGAAAACTAATTTGTTATCAAACCAGATGGTTTTCATTTGTTTTTAAAATGCACAAGATAACACACTAAATGGCTAAATCAAGATCAATTTGGACAATTGGACGAACTAAAGAGGCATATTGAATTGGACTAGTCCAAACTTAATGATCCAAAGTAATTATTGGATTGGATTTGAACTGGTCCATCTATAATGGATTTATATTTGATTGGGCAAGATTGAACCAATATCCAGTCCATTGATAGAAGATAAGAATACATGTGTCAATTGACTAGATTTGGATTGGTATAAATCTAAAGTAAATTCTAGACATTGAATTATACCCGTCCAAAATGGCCCAAAGTGTTCATTGGATTGAATCAGACCTGGTCCATTTATAATGGACTCATTGGGCCAGATTGGATTGGACCAAATACGGTCCAATTGACACCCCTAGTCCAATGAATGTTTGGTACAAAAACTAATTAAGACTGGAAATTTTAAGTGTATAGCATGGTTAATCCAGATAATCCCCCATGTGAAGGGCTGTCTTGATTTCTGAACCATCTCTTCATGTTTGGCAATGAACCGAACTCTACCTAACAACCGCTTGATTTATAATTTTTTTTTTCTCTTATGGTATTGTGGTTCATAAATTTCAAACTGATGGTTTTTATTTGGACAAAAGAACCAAACAAGGGATGGTGTTAAATACATGAATCGAATCCTGAGATGTCATAATCAAAAAGAAAGAATAAAGTCTGAATTTTCTAAAAGCTCTTTGGAAACTTCACATTTCAAATTCTCTTCAAGCTGAGTAATGTTGTCACCAGTGATTTCTGAAAAGAAAGTCTCCCCCATTCACTAATTGAATAGTTGTAACCTTAAACCAAATAGTATGGGGCTATTTCATCACTCACAAGCGAACCTAATTTTTCAAAAGTATGCATAGAGTATATAGCATTTGGAAAAAGATAAGGAATATTGGGATTAAAGGATTTTCATCAGAATACAAAATACATGCCATTCCTATATCAACCTTGCAAATGAAAACTAAAAGCAAAGAAGACATCAACAAATATATATGATTGAAACATGATGGAATACGGATTGATGTGTCATATTGGAGGTCTATGCTCTTCCTGCACAAGTAACTAGAAAATGATTTTGAGCTATCAAAAGGAAAAGTAACTAGAAAATGATAAGAAGATGCTGTAACTCTTTGGGGATGAGCATCAGACTTCTAACATGCTTAGTTTGCCTGTTTCTTTGGGTACTCCCGTGGTCCAAATATGGTTGATCCTATTCTCACATTGGTACTTCCCATTTCAATCTGCAAAAATAGATTAAAAAAAGTCCCAATCCTTAGCCCCTGACTGATATTCATTGAGAAAACCATACAGTTAAAATGGCATCAGCATTGAACCAAATCACATGTCCATGACACACTAGAAGACTAGACCATTTTCAACTCTAATAACACCCAGACCCACCTTCCATATACCCTCAGTGGAGACCAGCTAACACCAAACCCCAATCTCAAACATATTTGATGGTTGAGTCAAATGGTTTTGTTTGCACAAGTGCTCACTCTATTCTAGCTCGATAATAATTAATCTTATGTTGATTCAGGTATAGTTGACAAAAGTGCTTTCATTGAAACAATCTAACTCAATGAGGGTCAAAATCCTCAGGAAGCTATTAAAGTATGTTATACAACTGATCCTTTTCCCCCTGATCAAATAGGATAAGCTTTACTAATATTACGGAAAAAGATCATGATACAAGCATGCAGTCCATGGGAAACTAAAGGGTAGAGAGAGACTGACAGGGACTAGTTAACAATTTATCCATATATTCTTTTTATACATCTCAGATTTCATACTTTTGATGCTTTCTCTTTGTAATAAAAATATCACATTATGTTAATATTGAGAAAGCAAGACCTATTGCAACTGATCTGTAAGGATAGTATCTGTTTTCAAATTCACGTTTTAATTAATATCTTCCTTTATGTTTGACAAAGTGGAAGAAAATCAGAAGCTATAGCCACTAGCTGGTATTTAAGTTTCAAAATTAAAATTGATATTTCTTACTGCTTGCTCAAAGTCACCAGACATTCCCATTGACAACTCACATTGCTCCTCTGCTATTCCAAGTGCTTTGCATACCTCAATCCTGCAGTTTGACAATGTCTGTCTCACCGCCACATAAACAAGCAATTAGACTAACAAAATTAAAATATCAATAAAGTATTAAAACTGAGTAAAATGCAGATTCCAGAATTATTACCCTAAAGTTTTCTGGTGTTGATGTGTAGTCCGGCATTCCTATTGTCATTAGGCCTGAAAATTCGAGATTTGGGCAACCAAGCTTAACATGTTTTGCAAGTTCTACACAACTTGATGGTTCAACACCGGATTTTGCTGCAGTATAATGTTGCTGATCAATTAATTGATTGACTCATGCATTTTTTATGCAAGTGAGGTAAACGGAGAAAAACAGAATAACCTTCAGTGCTTAGAGCCAAAGATTAAAGACTAGAAAACTGGTTTCCTCAGAATAGAAAAGCTAAGGGTTACTGTCCCTTGTTCAGCTACATAGAAAAGTAAAACACAAACATATTCACAATTAATAAATACATGCAAACAAGATTTCTGTCTTCATAGGCAGACAGAAAAGTGAAGTTGATCCAATCAGTTGGCTGGCACTGAACAACCTTAGGGTCAAATCACAGATAGAACTTTGTTGTCTAAAAAAAAATCAGGAAAACCTCCATTTATAACACATCATTGATAGGTATTTAACAATCTGACAAAGAAATGAAAGTCAGATTGCTAAACAACCTGTATGGTTTTCTGGCCATGGCCTATCAATGATGTGGACAATGATAAATGTTAAAATTCAGGTCTGCCTTAGAGTTCGGCCTGACTGAGTTCAGTTATGTAGAAGAAGAAAAAGTGATAAAGAAAGAGAGAAAGAGAGAATTCTGGTTCAAACTGAAATAGTCAACTTGACTTCTCCCAGTCGGCCAGTAAGTATTTATATTATTATTAAAACATAACTGAAAAGACCTATGTGCCCTTACTTAAGT